TGTGAAGACAAATTAGTTAGCATAAATCAGTTAAATGGCAAAAAATTAGGTGTCTATTTATGTGTGACCACTCAGTGTATATATATATATATATATAAATGAACAAAACAAACACAAACAAAAAACTAAATTAAATTAAAGACACTGCATAAATTAAAAGGATTTCCAGGGCACAGGCTATGATGTGGTATATAAAATGTGCCTTGGGTTTTGGAGGTGACAGAAGAAGTAGGACCCACATTGCAGTGGGATTACACTGTCTATCAGTCTTAACCTCCATTCGCCAGTCTCACATGAAGAAATTCATGAAAAATCAAATAAAATCATAAAAAATATATAAGACAGGAGAGTGAGATGTGGGTGTTCAAGCCCACAACGTCCTACATCTATATCACCCTTCACTGCCTGCAGACAGTTGTGGGAAGTTGCCTGCTCTCCAAAGTAAAAGAAAATAAAAGAAAACGAATGGGTTCCACAAAGATGGCTATAACCATTCAGTTCAGAGTAAAGCAGTAGTGTTCTGCCAGTGTAGAGGGAGTTACAAAATCCTTCAGATGAATGACTATTTCCTGGAGTTGAGATGCCCAAGTGCAGTTCACCACTCCGATTGGGTGCCGTCCCCCTACCCTCACGTGCATGTCAATACCCAGCCAGTGAGGTTCTAGAAGTCGAGTGAACCAATCACACAAGTCCTCACACAGGTTTCAGTTTGTCCATCTTTCTCTCTCAACTTGTTTCTGTGTTGTGGGTCGCAAAATATCAGCATGGCATGTTCCGCTTCTGTTCTGGGTCTTTCCATGTTGGGTGACGAGGTTGTTACCAACCTGGGGTTGTTTCAGGCTAGTTTCATGGTCATGAGGGTTGAGTGCATGCAATGACTTCCCTCGGATTGCAGATTAGGAATTAGACTACCCTGTGAGTTCCTGGAGTCGAATGTTAGGTTCACTCTTGACTCCAGGACTTGAGGTGAAGATGGTATGATCCCCATCCTACCCTCACAAGGATGTCAGTACCCTGCGAGTGAGGTTTTGGATGTAGTTGACTTACCGAGTATGGTCTGTCGCACCCTAGCCACTCTATACCATGGGAAACATTCTCACTTGCCCACTTCCATCGTGGAATTTAGTGATTCTGATTTCTGTTTAAGATCACATTGTTAAACTATCCTCTCCCATGTGGATGTGCTCCCTTTAAGGTTCCACCATGTATGGTCCTTCTGATCATGTCGATGTTCATGGAGAAGAGATACCTGGCTCAGATGTGGTGTGGTAACCCTCCTCAGATCATCTGATCTGTTCCTCTCATTTCGGGTGGCATGCATTTCTGAAACAGTTCACATATAGAGGGCAGCACAAAACAAGAAAAGCTAATCTTGTGAGTGGAGGGAAGTACCAAACAGAAATACATTTTCATTTAGGAAAATTATAACATTGAGGATAATAAGAGTTTTTACTTATTTTAATAATATAATTATCAATATTTTTCTCCAAATCTTTAAGAGTTAACTTTTTCGTCCTTTTTTTTAAGTTCTAAATATAGTACCTTTCTCTAATATTGATCTTTATTATTTATCCTTGATAACCTCTAAATTACCTGTAACTATATGGTTATGAAAAATAGTCCTTAAAATCACTATTACTTCAGTTACAAGGTAATTTGTCAACTTTTGTTTGATTAAATTCTTTAATGAATTTTTTAAAGTTAAAAAGAAGAGGTCCTGTAGGTTTATTATATTTAAAACTAACTATGAGTTGTAATGATTTGATGGGGAAAATGTTATCTTGAACACTTTTATGGATTAGGTAAGGTAGAGATAAATCATCATAAATTTTATGTTTAAAATATATTACTAAATAAGATTTTTCCTTTTTCTTTACTGAAAAATTTGTTGGTATTTGATTCCATTTTGATCTAAATTTAATCAATTTACAATTAAATCTTTAATATGGATATGTTTAAATTAAAAATTCAACATACAATTTGACAAATATCTAAGTTTTGAATTGTTTAATGCAAATAATTGTTTTATTATAAATTTTAACAAATTAACAGAAACTTTCAAAATTAATCCTTTTTTCTTTCTATTTTTTACCTTTACCTCTAAAATGATTTTGTTTATTGTTACAAATTATTTACCT